AGACGGAAGGCTACATGTAAAGAGAGTTCGGAACATATTGCAAGAGACCGAACAAATCTCATGTGTGAAGTCAGAGTGATGACAGCTGGACGGTAGAGGGAGGAATGAGGTTGAAGGAGAAGAGAACAGGAGAGGTAGAAGAAGAGTAGGAGAGGTTCAGAAAAGGTCCAACAGAGGAAACCACAGCTCAGCTGACCAATACAGAGCTACAAGAAGGACATGACAAGGAGTGTCCTGTATGAGGGACAAAACACGAAGGAGGAGATGAATAGGAAAATAAGCACAGAAAAAGAGGTTGGTCCAGTCCTAACTGAATGCACCCACTGCTAGAGCTGATGGATGCAGAACAGGAGACCAAAAAAGTGGAAGTTCAGTGTTGTGGTAAATGATTCTAATAGGAGTGACAAGATGAGATCAAAGCTACTTGAAAACCTGAAGAATGAAGGACCACTCCACAGTCAAAATCTTATCAGCCCTTGAGAGATGATCTATGAAAAGATTCAGGGAACCTGAAATATAACAAGCCACCAGTTGTACTTATAGGTAATGGGCCTAGAAGAGAAGGTTGAGGGTGTAAAAATGGAGAGAGGGAGACCAAGTGCTTCACTGGTGATTCATATAGAAAACCACAGTTGAGTAGTCCATATGGATCATATCCAGACCAGGGGACAAAATAGTTTGATGGATTTGATTAGCAGAAACTGCTAATCAATATTGAATTTGATTAGCAATTAGCAAGTATTGCTTAGCATCTTTTTAACACATAATGGCAACTAAATCCAGCAATAAAAGTTAACTCTTTGTAAAGACATCCACTAATGAAAAAAAAGGTAAATGGTATGTTTTTATTCTAATCACGCTTTTATTCAGCTTCAAACCTTAATATCTAAATGTACCATATGTGGCAATTTATGAAGAAAATAGTTCCTGGTATATAAAGTAAAACTTTGCAAAATAATGCAACAATCAATTAACCAGACAAAGAAGTGACTTGAAGATAATGTCAACTGAACTAGATTGCCATAAATAATTTTCAAATTAATCAAGTTTATTTCTTTGTTGTTTTAGGTGAGGTCTCATTCTCTTCACAATGTGGTCTCCTTGGCTTTTTGAAGAAGGAAACGTCTATTGACATAGCAGTAATTACCCATCTCACCATGGGCATTCTTTACTGTGCACTTCATGAGGTTATATGTTAGTTACATTCACAATTTAATTATACTACTTTTTGTTTATTCATGTTATACCAATTAGTATAGCAGGAAATTGTAGCTAATAATCTGTATTTTAATAGTACACAAATTTTAAGTTCTTCATTTTATAAGGGAATATTAAAAAAGATCCTGAATTACCCCAAGTGTGAGAAAGGTGATATTTTTTTTCTGTAGGCATCCCCTCTTCTTTAATTTATTTATCATCCCTCCGGGAAGTATGAAATTTAACATAAATTACTTATAATATCATCATCACTCAGATAAAGCATAATTTTCATAGCACTGACTTTATTTTTAACCAATAGAAAGCCAAGGTTTTCATCCATCAAATGACATATTAACTTGTTTTCTTTACAGAAAGATATTAATTTTTCTTTCAGTGCCAGCTTCATTATCATGGAAAATACACTGACTAGCTTGGATGAATTTGTAGTGGCTCTTGTTGCATAGTTAGAAAGCCAGAAAACTGCTTTTTGCATGTTATTATTCTGTGTTATTTGGTGCATTATATAATTAAATAAAAACTATTTAGTGCACTACTACTATTAGTATAAAAATATAGGGTTAAGTGCCATCAACAGTCGACAGCAAATACAAAAAAGGTCCAGGTAAGTACTTTATTTCTTCTTTTTCATGTGTATTATTAGCCCATGGGCAATGCAATTCAATAGTGTAATGTGAGCCACACTTTCCCCCAAGTGATTTACATTTTATAATGATGCAAACAGTACTAGTAGTTAGACATGGTTCAAATGGCATTAAAAAAATAAAATTTAAGTATAAATTGATGTATACTGTTATGAGTTTAAAGATACTTAGGATAAACAAATGTAGTTTCATGTAACAATTTGAAATCATTCTAGAAAGAAAAAAAAGGATAATTTAGATTTATTTTGAAAGGTTACATTGATCATGCAAAGCAAGTGTGAGCACATACCAAGGGGATAAGGGATTCCATAGAAGCCCAGGTCCCCCCCCCCCAAAAAAAAACCTCCTGTACAGAGAGAGAAGAATAGAATAGAGCAATGGAAAGCAATCAGTCCACATGCCCCAACTGAAGTGGAGAAGGCTGGGCCATGCTGAGATAAGAATCAAAGAACACACTCAAATGAACCAGATATTGAGTGGGTGTACGATGAGACTTCTCCAGTTTGACTAACCAACCAAGATAAACCATCTCCTGAAGGAGGAGATTATAGTTGTAGGAGTCCAGTTGGGACAAAGCTAAAAGAAGCCAGATGTCCATATAATGGTGGAACTGAATCCCAAGCCATGAATGTGATGAGCAAAAGCACTCACAACTCAGTAAAAAACATATGGAGCCGACACAAAGCCAAAAGGAAGAGCACAGAACTAATAAACCTAACCTTGATGAAGAAACCAAAGGTATAATCTGGATGCAAGGAAAACAGAAATGTGAAAATAAGCATCCAAGACATCTATCTTGGTCATCCAAAGTCTTGGAGCAAAAGACCACGGGGGATGAGAAAAATCTATGATAAATCAAGGTAGGTCAAGAAAACGATAGAGACTTGAAAGATCTAGGACTCGATACCAATGCCTTGTCTTCCTAGAAACAACAAACAGACAGGAATAAAATCCTGGAGAAGAATTAGAAACCCGTTCAATAGCATCTTTGGTCAATATGTCTGACACTACCACTGACAGATGCTGGAAAGAAACTGGATAAATTGGAAGAGGAAAAGGAATGGGAACAGGAGACAAGGGAAGAGGAACAGAAAAATGAAGGGTAATGTCATCTGACAGCACATGCAACACCAAGCATATAGTTTAAAATAGACTAAAGATCTGCAAATCAGGCTAAACAGTCCCCTACTGTCCCTGAGCCTAGAGACAGGCACTGCCTAGACTGATGGCACCAAAGTATACAAAAAATAGAAGAACAGATGGGAGCAGAGGAATGGGAGGGGGGACAGGGAATGAAAGAGAACACAGCTTGATGTAAAGCCCAGGCATACGTGGCAACATGGCAAGGAGGACAAGGTATACACTGAGTGGTCACAAGTAAATAGACACCTAATTTTTCATCATTTAACTGATTTTTGCTAACAAATTTGTGTTCACAGAGCACTATGTAAATGAAAATGGTCTACACACTAATTATCCTGCTTTTGACAGTCAACAGAATCATCGTGCAGTTCAGGAAACATAGCAAGGAATCAAGTGAGCAGCGTCCGGGTCGTCCTGGTCCATCGGAGAGGACAAAAAGGGCTGTCAAGAGGAGCATCGAATT